CTTGAGGCCCAGTAACAATGAAGATATGACATTGAACTGCAGCGACACTGTCACAGAACGATTGTACTTGGAGCGCCTAGTCGTTCTCCTCGCAGCACGGCGGCGACCTGAAATCCGCAATCCGAAACAGATAATGAGCAGTTGTCCAAAATGATTTCAGTGAACCCCTTTGTCGAAAGCTGGCCCGGGAGTTTCCAAATAATTAACGATGTTTCCGAAATGTGAGCACGCAATCAAAAACCTGTAATGAACCAGAATCCCGCAGAACAACATTCCCGAAACAATTAAATAAGCATGGAGATGTCTCAAAGCAGAACCCAACGAAAACGAAATACAACATGGGCGGGCGGAATGAGCAATGCCAAACCATAGTAGCACTCCTCGGGGTGGCCAAGTCTTTCTTCTCCATGGTGGGAACGACCGCGGGTAAAAACCTCCTGGTCACACCTTTTTTCGCTTTCAAAAGGAATGTCTTCACCATGGCTACTACACCGAGGAGCACCAGGAAGAACCACGCAGGCTGAGAAGCACCGCGCCACGTGGTCACACGGCGCAAGGCATGTACAGAACAGGACAGCTCTAAGCAAAATGGCTACGAGGAGGTTAAGGATGATGATGATGGTGATGATAGGAAACCCGGTATCAGCGAGTTGATGTACAATGAGGCGTCCGCAAACGAGACACTGCTATCAACGCTGTTATAACTAACCACAAACGAGACACTGCTATCAACGCTTGCACAATTAAAAAGAAACGCTGGCATTGACACTACTAGCAATACCAATGTGGAGTTTAAACGAGGCACTGGCATCAACCGATTCAACTTCCAATAAAAGAAGATCACAAATGATTTCAGTCTGAAGTGACCCATGGCTATCAATACGAGAAGTCTCTGCAAATTAAACACTTCTGGCGACCGCCGCGCACGCGCGTGCAGGAAATCGTTGATGATGATAGTGATAATGGAGTGGGGGCCAGTAATGAAGATACACTGCTGTGCATTCACTTGCTGCGAAAAGGAAACTCTGCATGAACGAGTTGATATATAATGAGTTGTCCACAAACGAGACACTGCTATCAACGCTTGTATAATTAAAAAGAAACGCTGCTATCGACACTTCCACCAATACTAAAGTTGTCTTTAAACGAGTCACTGCCATGAACGGATTCAACTACAGTGTAACGAAAGGAACTGCAGGCTGAGAAGCACCGCAGGCCAACGTGAACCAGTCATGGTAATGAGGATGAGTGAAATAAATCTGCGATGATGGTAGCGATCATGAAGTCGGTTGTAGGAACCCACATTTGTAGTAACCAACATACACTGGTATGCATTCACTTATGGTGAAAGGAAACTCGGCATCAGTGAGTTGATATACAATGAGTTGTCCGCAAACGAGACACTGCTATCAACGTTTTTAGAACGAAGCGTACCTTCAGAACACTGTTACCAACTGAATGTACACCGATGTGTTCGACGACTGCGTATGTAATGATGTGACGATATACAGACTGAGCCCTTCGTGAATGTATACATGTTTTTCTGACGCCTACAAACGGCGCTGACGTGTGTGAGAAAATTGTCCGCGCAGCAAAAGCCGGCGAAGCGTGCGGGAAATCGCATGCTGAGAAGAACTACGTCTGCAGACCGCCAGCTGCAAAAGGTTGCGAGCGGCTCTTGGAAGATGTTTACGGAACGGAGCTACGGTGTCTGAAAACATTGGCATCGAAGCGAAGAGCCTCGGAGCCCTGCAGCCTGAGAAACACCGCAGGAACTCGCATACTGAAAAGGAATGCATTGCAAACCGCACGCTGCGAACCCTGCAGGCTGAGAAGCGCCGCAAGATGCCGCATGCTGAAAAGCACTTGTACTGCAGAGCGCAAGCTGCGAAACCTGCAGGCTGAGAAGCACCGCGGGAACTCGCATGCTTTCGAACACTACTGCTCGAGACCGCAGCTGGAGAGCGGCAGACCGCAGGCTGAGAAGCACCGCGGGCAGGGAGACTTGCAAAACTCAGATGTCCTGATCGTCTTGGAGGAAGTCACGCCAGTCCGGCGGCTGCCAAGAATCGATGATGCGCCTGGAGCCACCGCCCGTGCTGCCGCCGATGTCAAGGTAGTCGCCTCCGGCCCTGCGCAGACGGCCGTGTCCCAACGCCAGAATCGCTCGGTTGCGGATTTGAAGCAGCTCTCCGCTGTCAAACATCTGCAACACGTCCAGCTGCCTGCGCGTGAAGTTCGGCTTTGGCTGGCCAGCCCGGGCAGACGGAAGAGCGCCGACACGACGGACCTCTTCGCGATGGCGGGAAAGCCGCTCCCCCTCGTTGTAGCGCGCGATGGCTTCGGCCTTCTGGTGGTGCAGACGGCGCCGCTGTTCCCGCAGAGCTTCCTCGGGAGCTGCTGCATCACGGCCCTCACTGTGATCAGCTTGCAACGCTTGCGTTAGCCAATCAACGTCGAAGCGCCCTGAGAAGGCCAGCACCTCCCAGATCTGTTTGGTGCCGGCCACACGTTGCAAATGGCGATGCCACCGCTTACGCTTCTGGTCTTTCACAAACTTGGCGACGCTACCCAGACCTGCACCCTTGGCCTGGCCACCTTTTCCCGCAGGCTGAGAAGCACCGTGAGAACCTTTCTTACCGCCTGGCCCTTTGTTGGGACCCTGCGGAACCGCATGGCCCCCTTGTGGCGCAGACTTGCCTCTCGCTTTTCCCTTTTCGACATCCCGTTCCTGAAGCGCACGCTGCTGCCGCGACTGCTCGTACTGGTCGCGAGCTACTCTGACCAATTCCTGGCGCTCAGGCTCCGTGAGAACGTAGCGCATGTCGTCGATGTTCTTGCTCCGCAGAAAGTCATGTCGAAGCTTAAGGACAGAGAGAATGGCTCGGCCAGTCTCCTCCTGAGACGCAAAGGCCGTGTCATATTCCGAGCCAGGCTGAGGAGCGCCAGCTGGATCAGTGTCCGCTGGCTCCGTGGACTTCCTCTTTTTGAAAAGCAAGAGACTGAGATGATGGAGGACTTTCGGATCGTACTCCTCGTCGTACCTTTCGTCCCAAAGCTGCCTCAGCTCCCTGTGCAAGTCGTTCGCGCGATTCTGAACGACATCCTCGACGTAGTCGGGATCACCCGGTGAAGTCGGTGAAAGCGGAGGAGTAGAACTCGGCGACCGATCCCAATGCACAGAAGACTCGGCGTCCGCCTGTACGCTGACGTCGGCGTCGGAGACGTTTTCGACGACAATCTTCCGCCTCTTGCTCTCCCCAGGCTGAATAGCACCAGGGAGAGTGAGCACAACCGCCACCGCATCGTGTGCGTCGTTGCGCATGCCACGATCCGTAAAAGACGCGCCAACGGCAATGGAGCAGAAACGGGCGACTGCTCCGCAGACCGCGACGTGGTCGCCTTTGAGGTCGGCCGGAGTGGCATGGACCTCCCAGAGCTTCTCGTCGTTCTGCTGGCGCTGGTAAGCCTCCCGCGCCTCCTGGAAAGTCAGGTTGTCGTCGCCGACTACAAGCAGAACGACTGGCACGTGCGGCTCCGAAGCATTGAGAATCTGAGCCATGCCGTCCAGGTGCAAGCGGAGATGGCGAACTGTCCGCTTTCGAGTCTGGATGGTCGGCGGTTTCTTGCCGCACACGATGTGCATGTTGGCGATCACCACGTGGAACTTGTCATGGCCTGGTTTGTTCACCTCAAAATGTGAAATAACAGCATCAATCTCTCGGCCGCTAGGAGGCCTGTAAACTTTGCTGTCTTCGCACAGAGTCAGTTCCGCAGGCTGAGAAGCACCGCGGAAGCCCCAGAGAGTCAAGTAGTTGTCGACCTCCGAGAAGCGAATGCCATCACCGAAAGGCTTACTGAGGATCTCTGTCACGTTGATCCCTGCTCGGCGAAAGCCTTCACGGAACGCACCGACCTCGCAGCCACAGACAATATCAGCATCAGCGGTCTCCACTATCGTGGCGCACACCCTTCCGAAGTTAGCGCAGTGAGTGGCCGCCTGCTTACCAGTCATCATGCCCTGCTCGAACCCGAAATTGAACGAGGCGACCGTGAAAGACGCAGGCTGCACAGCGCCAGAACCAGGCGTCTGTCCACCTTCCTCCGCAGGCTGAGAAGCACCGCGAGGCGGCGACACTTCGGACGAGCCTCGCGGAGCAGAGGCTGCGGATGAACGTTCGATATGGGGGTACGGCCAGGGGAACGCCATTGCAATCGAAACTCTAGTGACGAGGCACGATTGAATGCAGTGGACTGCAGTGTCACTAGCAAGTCCTGAACCAAACACGGCTGTGGCGGAAGGAGTATGAAGCGTCTGGCTATTCAAAATGTGGCCCGGGAATGGAGTTCTGGGAACTCGAAGACCAGGAAGTGGACTACAGTTGGCTCCGGGCATCCAAAATGTGGCCCGGGAATGGAATTCTGGGAACTCGAAGAGCACGAAGTGTGTGACTGTTGCATCCGGCCCTCCAGAATGTGGCCCGGGAATGGAGTTCTGGGAACTCGAAGAGCACGAAGTGTGTGACTGTTGCATCCGGCCCTCCAGAATGTGGCCCGGGAATGGCGTTCTGGGATGTCGAAGAGCACGAAGTGTGTGACTGTTGCATCCGGTTATTCTAAAAGTGGCCCGGGAATGGCGTTCTGGGATCTCGAAGAGCACGAAGTGTGTGACTGTTGCATCCGGTTATTCAGAATGAGCCTGGGAATGGAGTTCTGGGAACTCGAAGAGCACGAAGTGTGTGACTGTTGGTGAAAAGCGAGGTGGACACAACCCGCCCGGCAACTCCCAACACCTGCCCGGACCCCCCTGTGGAGTGATCTGTGAGCTCTTTTGACACCACTAGAAACCTATCAGTCTTCGCTGTTAGGTAAAAAACATGTCGCTGAGGAGGAGGAGGAGGAGGAGGAGGAGGAGGAGGAGGAGGGGCAGGAGGAGGAGGAGGAGGAGGAGGACGAGAACAGCGCCCAAAGTGAGGGTCGGCCCATCTCTCCGGAGGCGC